TGGCTCAATCGACAACACAAACTGGTTATGTGGAAAACGCTCTTAGGTTCGATCCCCACTAAATACATCTATATGGAGGGGCAAAGAGCTTTAACTGTGACTAAACAGTCCTTAGTAACATGGTCTGACTATCGGTGGTTTACATATTAATCCATATTCATGATTGATTTCATAAAAATTTAAGTTGTCATATAATTTATAAAATTAAAAATTTTATATTGCAAAATTATATAAATAATTTCAATTATATAAAAAATAAATGCAATTGATTAAATTATTTTTCTATCAATTTTCTAAATAATTATAATTGACAAAAAAAAAAACAAAGATAAAAGTTGAAAAAAAGATAAAAAATGGAAAAAAATTGAAAGTATGATCCTTTTAATTTACATTACATCATGCTTATATTTAAATCAGAGTAATATTTAATTAATGGCGACTTTAAATTCCCAAGGTGACTAAGTAGCTTTTCTTAATTATATTTTAAAAATTGAAAATTAAAATAAAATAAGAAAATCCATTTAATCAAAATCAAAACTTACATCCTTAAAAGTGATTAGTATATGTATTATAATGTTTTCCTATTTTCTTAAAGTAAATATTAATAATTTAAAATTCAAAATTTAACTAAATTTTGCATATTCGTTATTCACATATCAAGATGCCTCTCAATGTCGGCGAACAAGTCGTTAATTTATTTATTTTATATTATTATTATACAAAACAACTAACGTGACCTTCAATCATTGATGCACACATTCTTATGCATCTCCTATTTTCTATTTTTAATTTTTTTTACCAAATTATTTTTAGGTTTTTCAGAGACACGTTTTGCTTTTCAATTGGTCTAAAGGTCCAAATTTCGAGGTAGACTTTTTAATTCCACAATTAAAAAAATTAATATTCCTGACATATGTTTTATTTAATTATTTTCTTCCTAGTATGACAAGTTAAATTAATTTTCTTTAAGAATATTAATTTATAAAAATCTTCCATAAAACAGCAATCTCTTCCAATCAAAGCTAGTAAGGAATCATTAATCACAGAGGAGGTCTTTAATGATTAGGGTTTACTCTTATTTTTTAATTACGCAGCATTTTTTGTCAGATATTTATTAATTGTTCCGATACGTATATTCAAATTTGGGTTTTACTTCTATTTTATTATATTTTATTCAATTTCATTAATTTATTTCCGTTAATTTTTGTTATTAGATCGGCTTTATATAAAAATAAATTTGTCAATTATTAAATTTAAATTTATAATAGAATGAATGCAAGTATTATTAATGTATTTATTTTTGTTTAAATGTAATTTCAAATTTAATAAGTGATAAATTTATTTTTATTCGAGATCGAGTTTATAATACCTTTTACCTTTTATAGAAATTTTATTTATATTTTTATTGGTGTGTAACAATGATGTTTGGATTTCATTGTTCAACATTAATTATTATTTGGAAAATGAGGAAATGAGAGAAAAGAAAAGAAAAATTAAGAGGAAGAGTTAATTGTTATTTTCCATTATTTTTCTTTTTTTTTTTGGCATCCTCTACAGTACTAACACTTGCTTTCATTTAAATAATATATGTATAAAAAATCATTAATTATTTAAAAAAAATAAAAAAAGAATAAAAGCATTCAACGATGAAAAAATTACAGCCTGTGGGCGGGAATTTTGTTTCCTTCCACTTGTCCGTGGATGAAGGTGTAATTGTGGGCGTATGTGAACTTTTGCACAAAGATCAACGAAGCTTTTGTTTGTGTTTACGTTCTGTTACTTATTTTATTTTATTTTGTGCCAACTACTATACCTTGCTACTCAAAGATACACTTTATTTAGTCCGAGAGGGTCGAAAATGAGGAAGAAAATTGGGTAGGATTTGAAATAAAAAATTTATTTTTTTAGGATAAGAACAATGTTAATTTTCTTTTTTTTATTCTGATATAGAAAGAAAATAAAATTATTTTTCTTTCTGTTAGTATATTATTATAATTTTCTTCAAGATTTTCAAACGCTAACCCAATCATTGACTTAATAAAAGCAAAAAGTCAAGAGTTAATGGATCACTAAATTACCAATTGAAGTGGTCGGGTTGATCAATTTTCAATTGTAGAGGGATTTAGACTTAATTGACCCGGTCAAACTCTCCATTTTTAGTTTTACCGTTTGAATTAGTTGAACCGAGTAGGTCTAGATCTTAAAATACTACTCCTTTCGTTTTATTTATTTAGACAAAACTTGCTTTGTACATAAATTAAGGAATTTTTTTTCCTAATTTACCCTCAGCATTACATTAACTACATCATTCTTCACCTAAATCAATTAATGACTCAAAAGCAAAAGTAATGGATTATAAGTAAAATTTTTGAGAAGAAACAATGATTAAGGTAATATATACATGCACTGTGTATTAAATTACTCACATTTTGTGTTGTTTGGACTTATATGAATGAGTAAAATGTGTGCACCAATTTTTTGAAGATGAGCACTATACATTTTTGCAGTGAAGTTTAATATATACACAATTGGACTTAATATATATATATATATATTGTTTTCCTTATATAATTATGGTATGATTTTCAATTTCAAAATATTTAAATTAAAACTGAAAATCGTCGAGTTAAGGTTTGAAATGGGTACTATTTTAGTTTGTGCATTGTTGTTTGAAGAGAATTATAAAAATCGTGCAGAGAACTAAAACGATGTTCATAAAATGAATTTTTCCTGCATTTTTTAATCAAAGTGGATAGAGAAAGGGATAAAAGCATTACTTTGTAAATGTAGCCACATTCAAATAGATTTCTATACTTTGCTGCCACTATCTCGACATTTTCACATATTAATGCAATAAAGAAACTATATAAAGGCAATATGGACTTTATACCTTATTTTTTTACTAAAATTAGTAACTTTGTCTAAATAAATATGTCACCCTAAATAAAAAGTTTGTCCAAATAAAAAAAAGAAAGTATTTTTTTTTTTATTATTTCTCTAATTTTACCACGATCTCTTACCTCGGGCTGGATTGAAATTAAGACTTATGAAAGCGTAAGGTTTGTAGAGCACATAATAAGCCTTTGTCCTATTGGTGAAACATACACTTTACACTCTAAATACCCGAACCAGACTTGAAAATTTGGTCAAACTAGAGGCAAATTGGTCGAACTAAAGTTGACATGAAATATGAATACATTTTCCCACTCATCTTACACTTGGAATTTGAAAAAAATTCCCAGTGACATTCAAAACTAGACAATAATTAGCTTTCCAATAGTATATAACATGTCAAAATTCAAATTGAAATGAGCCATAAACTAGGCAAATCAAAAGAATGCCGAATCAGACCAGACCAGACTTAAGAATCTCCTTAAGCCTTACACAGTCATCACGCGATTTGCCTATAACACCAATTCTATAGCAATTTCACATCAAGAAACACACTCCTTTCACTCCTCAGCCTTCTCCTATAAATATAAGGCTCAAAGGCACACCGGAAAAGCCTTAAGCTATCATAATTTCACAAAACTTTTCTCTCTCTTATTCCTTTCTGTCTTTAATGCAATCTAAATACGTAAGGTGGAAGTCCTCTCGAACTTTCTCTAATCCTTTTTTTATTTTGTTTACGATTTTCTTGGTTTCTATTCCTTTGGTTTAACACCTTTTTGGTTGCTAAACTTTAGTTCACTTTTGGATTTATAGCCTCTTTAATTTTTATATCTCAACCTAGGGTTTAGTATTTTCCCTAAATACAAATTCCTCCAAGCCAAAGCTCTGCCAAAAAAAGATTGTATCCACTCTTCCTGCCAAATCAAAGAAACAAAGCAAGACTCTGCTCAACTCAAAAGCAAAGTTATGACCCTCTGAGTACCATAAACTCACTTTTTTTTCTTCTTCTTTTACTTATCATTTGATAAAATATCAAATTGAAAAAAATGATAAAAAGAGGAGGCTTAAGCTATAATGATGAATGTAAGAGTTTGCACCAATAACACTTGAACCGTGATAGATATAAATGTGATCGAGATTTGGATGCTTCTGTGATGAGGTGATTTGGAGAGTTGCAAAAGAAAAATATAAGAGGAATATAAGGGTATTCCTATCTTTTTATTAGACACTTAATATTGAAAGATGATTTTTTTTTTTTTTTTGACATAAGGATAATACGATTAATAGAATCAAATTATAAGGATAAAATAGACTATTTTTTTAAAGTAGGGACAAAGTAATTTTTTTTGGGTAAAAACTCCAACTTGACTATAATTTTCCCTTTCAAATAAGTATATAATCATTGGTTTGGCTATTTAACTTTTGACTTGCATTGTATTTTTTACTTACAATTTAATTTAAAAATAAGTAATTAAATATTTAGTAAACTTATTTAAAAGTATTTTTAAGTAATTTAAGTGTTTGGATTGAACATGTACTTAAAAATAATTTAAGTTGTTACGATTAGTAAAAAGGTCTAAATAGAAAGTTTAACCTGTTACGCTTGACACTCGCAGAAGAGTTACGCGCATAAGAGTTTAAAATACTAAATGGTAATGGAGGAACATGTTGCATCATTAAACTTTATTGGTAAAAGAAATTCAAATTGAAAATTCATTTGATTATATTTTCTAAAATACTCTTGACTAAATAATTATAAAAGGTTAAAAGGATGGGTAGTTTTGCCGTAATACTTTGATTGTTTAATTTTTTGGAATTCATTCCAATTGTTTAATAGAATTTGATTTAATTATATTCAAATCTATAGAATTGAATACATAACATATATTTTTTTTTCACACCAAACACAAAAGTTTAGATTTATAAATGAATTTTATAAAATTTTATGAAATTTATTTATTGGTTTAATTAAAAAACCATTTTTCATTAATCAAATCAAAAGAACAAAAAAAAAAAAAAAATTATTGCGGAAAAATATTTTAACAAACGGGCCTTGATTACGTCATATATAAACCATACATGGCCCAAGGGATTAATTCAAAATGCCAACCCAAACAAAAGATGCTCTCAGTTCTCAGAAATCCAATATGTAAGTTCTCTCTCCTGCTCAAATCACCTGTTTAGGGCTGGATTTCATGTACTGTATATTAAAGAACTGAATCAAAATCAAATAGCGCCTTGACAATTGCGTCAGGAAGCTGATTGGAATCCATCGAAATGGCTCCTCCCGTAGTTCTCATGGTAAGTGCCCAAGCTTACTCTTAGTTCTTCTGCGCCAAACCCTTAAGTTTCTTGTTGTTTGTTTGTTGTGTCATTTTGAAGTTGTCCTGTCATTTTGCAGGTTGCAGAAAAGCCTAGCATCGCTCTCTCGATTGCTTCTGTACTCTCCTGTGGCCGGGTACTCTCTCTCTATCTCTGGTTTCATTCAAGTTCGAAAATTTGGTATAATTATCTTGTGGTTCTCTTTTTGTGCATTGCAGTTTTTGAACTGGTAATGCTGCTTTACTACAATGTTTCTACTCTATAATGCAATCTCTTTCTCTTACTTGTTATTCTTACAATTTGGTCATCAAGAAACTAGCGATCGCCTTCCTGACTGATTATGTTGATACTGTTGCCTCTCTGTTGCTTTTCATACTACTTACACTAGAGTCAACATTGTCATTTTGAGTATAGTTCTAGGAAAATGGATGTATATAAGAGGTAAATACAAATGTGAATTGTTAAAAGCTAGTTATTTTGGCAAGCTCCTAGGTGTTTCAGCTATAATAACAATGAATACAGGGTTACTTGCTGTTCAAGATCTTCTTTTGCCTCTTGAGCTCCTTGCATTTCCATTTCATTCTCTGAATATTTTGATGTTTTATTAAAAGCTAGAACTCAGAAGCTCGGCAATGTTTGAAGGATTTATTAATTCCAATTCCTAAGGATGTAACTTGAAGTGTTGTCTTTTTCAAGACTAGTAGGCTGGACAGATTAAGGTGATGCCATTTCAAACTATTCACTTGGTCAGAGAGTTAATTGAATTGCAAACTAATTTTCAGTAATGACTCAGTTCTTCTTTGATTGGTGAGCCTTTTCTGAGAGTATAAGCCATTAAAAGACGATTATAACTAGTCTCTAGAAGTTAAATGTGAAATTAAAGGATAATGGGTGAGTTTTTGTGATGTGAATGAATGTGGAAGATGTCTTCTTGGAAGGGCGTTGAAAAGATACGACCTTAGAACTATTGTAGAGAAATTCTGACTGAATTCCATTTATCTTTTTGTATGCTCAAAATTATACTGAAACCATTTGAAGACTCATTGAACTTTCAAGACTTAAACTATTGAATATATTCCAAGGAACTAGGTACTGGTTGATGACTAAGATCACATTTATTGATTTAAACTATTAAACATGTTGCTTGAAACCAGATATTGGTCAATGACTGAAGATCACCTTTATTGATTCCATTGATATTAAAGGTGCATAAAGGTGTGAAGGGGTCTTGGAGCCAAGGCACAAGGAGTGAGGCACAACATGTGCTTGAGTGTTATGAGTCCTTTCTTGACATATTATGACTTTGCATTGCTGTATACATGTCTACCTTCACATGTCTCTATTCATGAGAAAGAATATCTAATCTGAATATATCTCCTCTGTGTTTCTCTTTCTTTGGACGTGGTACTTTTTTTGGAGATAGTAACATCAGTAGTGCTTGATGAAAAAAAAAAAAAAAAAAATTGAAGTTGAATACTCATATAAAGATTAGGTGAAGTTTGGGCACTATTGGCATTATTATCTTGATTTTGGGTGCACAATACAATGTATTCACTTGGTATGCTGTGTGTTAACTCTATTCATCTTTCCATAGATGAATTTCAATCATACAAATGACTAAATGTTTGTGTTGCATTCTACAGATGTCCACCAAGAAGGTTAGTACAGAAGTCCATGAATTTGATGGGAAGTTTCTTGGATTTCATGCTCATTATAAAGTGACATCAGTTATTGGGCATATATTCAGGTCCTTTTTCCCTAACCTTAAATTAAATAAAGAAAATAAAGTCCTTTTTGTTGTCTTTTTCTTTATTATGATTATTGCATTGCATGAATGTTGGTTTCTAGGCACCTTTTCGTAATATTTAGCTTTGTATAATCTTATAATCAATCCTTTTCATCTAAATAAAATTACAATGACTGCCTTTTTCTTTATCCTCCAAACATTAATTCTTTGTGTCTATTCCTTTAACGTGCATTTGTTGTAAAATGATTTGGTGAGAAATGACCTCAAAATTAACACGACTAGCATCTTATAGAAAGGGGCATAATTAGGTTATCATTTGGAGAGGCCATGGTTCCCCAAAACATTTAAAATTTTTTCTTTTTGTCCATATATTTTGCACAATTTTTTTAGAGTATTTGCTTGGACCTTCTAAGATTTGAATTTTTTTTTCAAGAATACTTGAGGTATTTTAAATTGTAATTGTTATCTTTACCCATAGTCTTTTAAAATTTGAAAATTTTTGCTTAACTCTTGAAAATCTATGCTTTTTCGATGTTACTATCAGTTGTGACTTTTAAAATCTTTGAAAAACAAAATCCATTCAACCCTCAAAATATTGGGCTGTATAGGCTCATTTTGGGGTTTGACAACCTCATTGTCTTGCAAACGACACTAGTAACACTAGCCCAAAATTTTTGGTTCCATTCAACTCTTAAACTCTTAAAATTTTCAACTGCCATTCCCCTCTTCTAATGATTTGAGCCTCGACCCCCTACCCCCCATATGGACGATATGGTAAAGTATATTCATTTATGTTTTCCATAATAATAGGGAAGATGTCTGAACATAAAATGAGATGCTTTTTTATTAAATGATTCGAGAAGTTTTGGTTTCATGTCATCTTATGCATATGTTTAACTTAATGCAATTTTGTTGATTAGAGCTTTGGTTGTCTCAACTTTATTCATTTCACCTTTCTTATTGTCAGATTTTATTCATCTTTTTTTTCCCTTTTCTTAATGCAAGTCTAGTGTAGATTTTCCACCAAAATACCAGGATTGGACCGTCATTGACCCTATGGATCTTTTTCAAGCTCAAATAGTTAAATCAGAAGCAAACCCTAAGGTATTCCAGGCTCCTTGCTTCCCATCTATCACTATTTTCTTTAAGCTACACTGTATAGTTTCTTGGACAATTTTGGGAAGTTTGATTGATATGAGATAAATTGTCATTTGGAAAACAATTTTTTATTGTATTAAATGTCAAGCATGAGAATATTCGACAATCTTCTCATCCACTCTCCATGTGGGTGTATAAAGTTCAACATGTGTTGTAAAAGACTTCTGCATGTGTTTGAATCTGTGTATAAAACAAACAATTTGCTTGTATCTATTTCTTCTTCTTTTTTTTTTTCCTTGTTTGAGTATCTTGTATCTATCTCCTTATGTGAATCATAGGTGTTGTTGTTATGTTACAATTGGCAGTTTATGCTTTTCACTTCTAGAGTGCATGAAAGAGTTTTCTCAATCTTTTTGTGGTTTCTAAATTTATGGATATGTAAAGTTTCATTTTTAAGGTACATGGGAAGAGTTTTCTCTATAGAATTTTACTTTTGATAGTTGCTGGACAAATGTTTATGCTGATTTATTGCATCTAAACAATGATCTTTTTCATAATTAACTTTTGCTGAATGGGTTGCCAACTGTAAATGTGCAAAGCTGCTTGTGTATGGCTTGAGGCTCGGCTTGATAAAAGCTCGCTCGAGCTCATTCGATAAGCTTATCGAGCTGAGATCGAGTTGAAGTATCAAGCTTGAGCTTAGCTCAGCTCTTGGGCGTGTTTTATCGAGCCAAGCTCATGAGCTAGTTGTTATTAGTTGAGTCGAGCTCACGAGCTAGCGCAACAAGCCAAAAATAACTAAACCGACAATAAAACAATGTTGTTTTATTTTGATAGATTTTGAGCTCGAGCTCGAGCATAAGCATATCCTTATCAAGCCGAGCTTGAGCTCACTAGAGATCAGTTCGGCTCATTTACAGCCCCAGTTGCGATCTTATGATAGTGTCTTGTGGGCTTTCTGCAATAATATAAAATTACAATTTGCTTAAATGGCTCAATAATGTCTTTGGAGAAATGTTTTTTATATGGTATGCTTGCAACTCAAAAACATTTTTATGAACTTTTTTTGAGTAAATTCATTTGTTAGCAGTCTTTTTGAATACCTTTAACCATTTTTTAATACTTTTTATGTCTTTTTTTGTTGGTTCTAAGGCTCATATACGTAGGCATTTAAGTCAAGAAGCTCGTGGCTGTGGACATTTGGTATTATGGTTGGATTGCGATCGTGAAGGAGAAAATATATGCTTTGAAGGTAAATTTATTTACTTTTTATATGTTTTGATTGATGGAACTCCTAAAATAATCGAGAGTCTATTTTAGTTTTGAATTTTTGACCTTATAAAGAATAAGGGCAACAGTAAGTGTTTGTGGGCTAGGAGGCTTGCAATTAATGCAATTGGCTATGTTTCTCCACCTAAATTTGAAGGCCATGGTTTAAAATTAAGGAAAGGTTTCAAATTGTGGAAAGACCTGCTTGCCAAGGAAGACAGAGGTTGTATACATCAAATTGTCGCTGGGAAGACTTTTGAACAATGCCCCTATACATATCCAAGGCTAGAGAGCCTAGTTAAAATACTACAGAAGGTTGTATGCTTGTTTGGAAGATTGTTTATTTTGGCTGGTCGTATATCAGAAGAAGAAAATAATTCTCAAATTTATCTATTAGGCATGTAAGCAGATTGTAGAAGGCAAATTCATTGTAGTTGTGAAAAATTTGAGATGCATTAGAAATTCTCCTAATTTTATACATTAATAAGCATGTAGCAGAAGATCTTTGGTTGATGTTGTAGCATAAAAATAGATACATTATTGAAAGCTGTATTTTGTTTAATCTATCAGATTTTTAGCCTAGGATTTTAAAATGCCTATTAGAAAGTAACTGATGGAATTTGAGAAGAAAATGAACAGTGTAAAGATCTTTGATTTTTCATGGTTCCTAAAATTTTGGTGGTTTAATTGGATTCGATATGGATGTCGTTGAGGATATATAAGCATAAATTTTGGAAAGAATTCGGATTGATTAAGGTTAAGAACTAGGTCTTGATGGTTGGATTGAGACTTGATTCCTGATATGGATGGTATAGTCTTCTGCGGTTCATGAGAAAGAAGAAATAAATAGTCAGGAAGAATGTAGAGCGCGGAAAATCAACATTGGAAGACAAAAGTTAACTATCATCCCAACTTGTACTTACTTTGTGAGGTTAATTGGCTTATTTGGGATTGCCTGTATGATCTTTTGCAGAGATCTTTTGCAGAAAATTAGGCATATCTAGATGCTTTGGGGGGCTTTTAGTAGTCTAAAATGCAAATATTATACGATTGGCATCTCAACTTTTTTAGTTTTTGTAGTTCAGTAGTATATAAATGTTATTTTGTTATCAATTAAGTGTTTTAATGTTTATTTTTCTAGTTTGTCTAGTTCACAACTATTTCATTATTCGTTGCATTTCCATGTGTACCGTCGGAATGTGGAATTAAGTTTCTTTTTAAGTGGGTAATTGTTAGGTTTGTTCCTTTATTTTTGTGAGTAGTTTTCTATTTTCTTGTCATTATAGTTGTTAAAAAGCTTGTAAGGAAATGAAGGAATCTAATACAATTTCACCAAAGTTTGAGTTCATAACATCTTAGAGTTCATAAAATGAGGTCTTTCTTTCTCTTCTTTTCTTTTTTTTTTTTTTTTGGTCTTCAATAGACTGTTATTAATGTTAATTATCATGGGGATTTACAATTTGGTTGCTTTAGTTCAAGCCTTAATGGCTATGTATCTAGCAGAAAAGCATGAAATAGAGAACAATGGGAGAGATAAAAGTTGTTTTTGAGACTTAAGAATAGGAGATAAATCTGTTTTTGAGACTAAAGAATAGAGAACAATAGGAGAGATAATGCTGTTTTGAGGCTAAAGAATAGGTTTGAAGGATGAGGCGTTGTGGCAACTAGTGTTAACTAGGGCCAAAGATGCCCCAAACTAGAATTTGCTTGTTACGATGGTTAATGCATACTTTGGAATGGTTCAATTATTGTTAACATTTTCAATATTGGCGTCTTGATAATAAGTTTGAGTTGGCTTCATTCATTTGGAAGGGGATGGTTTTTACAAGTTGTTAGAGATTTCCTTCTTCAAGCGCAAACTTGTATGGAAATTGCTTATGATGCTTCACATGCTAATTTTTAGTTTACTTTAGGGGATAAATTCTATTGAAGCCCCAACCATTTTGGTACCTCTCTTTGAAATCTAGGTTATTGCATAAATAATATGCTCCTTTTACTATTTTATGAAAGGTAGGTTCAGTTCCTTACAAATTGGATTTTGTGGGAACTTGAATCAATTCGGTTATTTTGAATATACTATGTTAAAAATTTTTTTAGCCACACAACTTTACCTAGTAACCATGGGAAGAGGTAAATCCTGCACTTTTGTCTAGTTTAGACTTTTTGAGTGTTTTAGGGGTTTGACTGAACTCTTTATTCATTGGTAGGGGTTGTCCCTTTTCATGCTTTTTAGGAGGATTTCCCCATCTCAAGGAGGTGGGAAGTGATGTTACATCCCGGCAGCTATTTACAAATAAAACAGCACAACTTAGATTGAAATTTACAAGAGTTACATGTAATTAAGTTGTTTCCTCGTACATATATTTCAATGTTTAAACAAAAGGCAGTTTTTAACATTTGTAAAATATCCCCTTCTAAGTGAAAAGAAGCTAGCCTAACCTTCATATACGTAGGTGTATGATAATGTCGATTGAACAGTCGATGATGGTTGAGCTGTATAACGGATCCATAAAACCTTTGGAATGAGGAACCCCTGTAGTATTGAAGCATGTAATTTCCCCTTTTCTCATTCTCTTCTCCTACTTGTTGCTCTCTTTGCCCAATTAACAGTTGTAACCACAGTATCTTATAGTTCCAATACAAAGTTTGCTAACTTATAGACAAGACTCTCAAATTGCACTAACGGTCTTGTTTCTTAGTCTCAAAAGCAAATTTGTCTCTCTATCATGATATATTCTTTGCATTTCTTGTTGATACATACCGTGAAGGTGTGAAATTGCTATTGAAAACCATGGAAATCCTCCATAAACATTTGGGATGACACCAAATTTTTTATGGCCCTAAACTCTTTTTTCTATTTAAGGTTCTGTTTGATTAAATATTGATACTAAAGAATTAGAGCTCATTTGCGAGAACTCTACAGTCTCTTGTTTTAAAAATTCGAATGTTGTGAAAGTTCTGTTAAATTTCTTCATTAACCTTCAAACTTTTAAAACAACTGAATTCAAAATTAAAGACTAGATGGACCTTGACAACTGTCTACTAATAACGAAACATTTGCACCTTTTTAGCTACATATGGGAAATGGAAGGAATATAGAATAATAAATATTTGAGCAAAAACACCCAAAAAAATGCAAATGTTGTTCGTCTCCTTATTAGTATGATATAGAGAAATTGTAGCAATTTAAAAATATAAATATGCACAAATCTTATAAGGTTCTTGAGTTTAGTTCTTATATCACTACCCAATATGCTACTACAAAATCTTGGCCTGCATATTTGCTTTTTGACTTTTTCTATTAGTGAATTCGTAAGGCTAGCAAGTGCTTTTCAATATTATTAAATTTACTGCAAAATTTTTACTAGTAAGAATTAGTGGAATGGTACATCTGCAATGTTCTGCAAAAGTTGGTGAATTAACTTTCCTATTACTTGCCTATTGGATTTGTTGTAAATTATTGAACACCTTAACATTAGTTGGTTAATAACTTTCATGAGGTATATTGTGGTGTTTTCAAAATTAGTTGTTGTCTTTACTAAAATTTAATTGTTCTTACAGTTATTGAGTGTACTGGTTTTCATATAAATGATGCCAGAAGAAGGGTATATCGTGCACGGTTTTCTTCAGTTGCCGAGAAAGACATTTTGAAGGCCATGGGCAACCTTATTCAACCAAATAGAGATGAGGCATTGGCTGTGGATGCTCGACAAGAAATAGATTTGAAAGTTGGTGTTGCATTCACTCGATTTCAAACTAGTTTTTTCCAGGGAAAGTACGGGAATCTTGATTCACGAGTTATCTCGTAGGTTCTCTTTCTCTCTCCTTCTCTCTAAAATTGTATTTTTCATACACGTTTCCTTTATGATTATGATATATATCGACACAAGGGATGTGTTATCTTACTCGTGTGTGGAGGTTCAAATATGTGACTTAAATTATCGGTGAGAGAATTGGCGAAAAGACATAGGTTGATAGAATACTGTTCTGCAGTGAAGGATCTTGGTTAGCATAGCTGGAAAAAATTATAAGAGCAAAAATATCATAGAGTGCTTTTTGGGGTGGAGCTTATTTAGATCAGTCTCTAAACAAATAATAAGACAATAGATAGTTGCAACAGATTGGAGGCATACCTACATACTGGCTTTATAAAGATTATTTTATAGAATCTTAAATTCAAAGTAAGAATATAAATGTTAAATTTGTGTTAGTCAGTATATTAAGAGTGTTTGTATAGTATGTTTCTTTTTTACTAGTTGTGTCTAGGTTTACACAGACATATAAGTAATTACATTATATATCCGTGTGCATTTACCAATGGGGGTGTTACCCTGACAGTATAGTGTGGGAGATGGATATGACGTAGGTGTATTCTTTTAAGGAGTGTTGAGTTAAAGTCAAACTAGTTCCAGTTAAGAAAAAAGTAAAACAATGCGAAGTAAGGTAAATGCAGAGTAATTGGTGGGGTAGGTTTGCTAATCCAATTATGTTTGTGGTGAGTGAAGTTTATTCTATTATATGCTGTGTCGAATATTAGACGAAGTCTACTTAAAAAATCAAGTCTTGAAAGTAGTGTAAGAGGATAGGATGGAAAATGAGTTAATCTTATTCAGCAAAATACTATCACGAACAAAGGTATTTGGAGATTACATAACAATACTCGATCAAAAGTTCAAATGTTTAAAGGGATGATGAAAGGTACATTACTTATTTATCTTTTCCTTCTTTTTCTGTTTATTTTCCATGTTTCCCCTTCTATTGGGTCTTGACTATCAATTTAAGAAGTGTCTGGTTATTGAATACTTCGATTATGCAATGTATCCGGAAGGAGGTGGCTGGAAAGTGAGATTTACAATTTAAAGGCAAGATGTGCTAGGAATTGCTTATAAGGTCCAAGACTAATGCAATATGGTGGGACTATAAATTGTTTAGGTGCTAAGAGCAAGATAGACATTGCGGACACATAAAGTAAAAATAAGAGAAACCAATAGGGTTGATTGAGAAGATCAGACAAGAAGGTGCATTTTTTTGTGAGCGAGTTCTTTTTGAAGAAGTAGGCTGACGCAAAGAATATCGTGTTTTATGGCGGCACATCAGAAGGCCAAAATTATTGTATAAGAAAATAAAGTAATATGTAGTAGAAACAGGTATAGGGATGCCCATGTACTTGATTATAATTGCCTGAGTTGATTTGAGTGAGGTGCTCGCTGAAAGCAATTAAAATGGTTCATCTTAGCTCAATGCATGATGAAAGATGAAGCGTAAAATGAATTAAAATGTAAGGCGATTGAGTCAACTTGTGTGGAGTAATGTGTTAGTACTTAAAGGAGAGACAGTGACAAAAAATGTTGATAAGGAGTGGCCCCAAAAAACTAGTAATTTCTTGACTAGTGTGCTGACGATCATATGAAAAATAGAGCAAACACAATAAAACTTTATGTGCAATGGAATTGGTACAAGGATTAATTACGTTGGTTGAACCAACTTTACAATTAATTATGAGGTCGGTAAATACATTACAAAGATAATAGTTATAGTTAGAATTGTTGTCGAGTCTATTGGCTACTAATCTTGGAATTGAAAGGGAGGATATTTAGGTTTTTTTTAAAGCACAAGTTATTAGTAGTATGATGCGGAGTATATTCTCGTATTCGTTTTGTCAAGCGCAAATAGGGAGGCGGTTTAATGTTAAATGGGTAAAATGATTAACTATCTTAAATGAATAAGAACTTTCCACACTCTGATGCTACTGAAAAAATATTTATAGATTTTTAGAAATTATTAAGAAGACGTCAAATAGGAAAAATTCAAATATTGAAAGGCTACTCCTCATTAACGTGCAAAGTTAATAACACATTATGGATTATGAAGTTTCCTTCTCTTTTTTGATAAATCTTTAGAGTTTTATTGTGACACCCATAAAAGGAAAGCTTAATATATAATGACAATACCTAATTTGTAAACATTAAACTATGTTTAAATGAAGAGGAAAGTGAAGGATGTCGTGGAGGTTCGACATATAAGCCAACAAATTGAAGAAGGTGAGATAAGTGTCTCTGCGCGACACCGAGGAAGCCATCTCGCGAGAATCACGTATGTGACTTGGAGAAGGGTGGTCATTTTGGTAGTATTAAGATTATTTCCATAACGCTTCTGTATGAGTGTAAGACGGAAAGTATTTATAATAGTACCAACAAAAACAAAGCTTTATTAATAAATTTATGGGCATAAAAAAAAAGTAAAACCATGGCGAAGAAGGTGGAAGGGAGCGTAATTAATGGCCGTGGCGAGACTTTTGTCTAGTTGTAGACGTTTTATTGAGTCGGTGATAATTTTAGGCATTGGTGCTTCAGGACACAGAGGAAAGCGGGGCCAAGACACGTTCGACAAAAGGCTAACATTGGAACTTCGGAATATCCTGTGGATAAGAGATTCGTAGAGGGGTATAAAGACGGCATCCGCGCTAATTTCATTTTGCTGACTTTAGGAGGGAGGTAGTTTTCCGACCCAGCTCAAGAGGAGGGTAGGGGAAGAATGAGATGATTGAACATTCCCGGCAGCATATTACAATAAAACAGACAACTCTAGGAGTTGAATAGAAATTTAGCAAGAGTTACATGTCTAATTAACGTTGTTTCACTCGTACATATAGAGTTTCAATGTTTAAACAAAAAGGCAAGTTTAACATTTAGTAAAATTATCCCCTTCTTAAGCGTGAAAAGAAGCTAGCCTAAGACCGTTCATTATACGTAGGTGTATGATAATGTCGGAGGGATTGAACAGTCGATGATTGGTGCAGCTTGTGTAAACGGATACGCATCGAAACACTTATTGAGAGGAGAAATGAGGAAACCCCTGTAGTATTGGAAGCATGTGAATTTCCCCGGTTTTCTCATCTCTCTCTCTGGTTGCTCATCTGTTGCCAATTAACAGTTGGTAACGCACAGTATCTTATAAGTTGCCAATACAAAGTTTGCTAACTTATAGACAAGACTTCTGCAAGATTTGCACTAAACGGTCTTGTATTCTGTAGTCTCAAAAGCAAATTTGTCTTTTCTCGATCATGATATCATTCTTTGCATTTCTATTTGAGTAGAAGAGCGATGAACCGGAGAGAGTAGGAAAGGAGTGATAGTGAGAATTGCTATTTGGCGGAAAAACCGTAGGTGGAGAAATCTCCCCTCCATAAAGCATTTGGGGGAATGGACGTACGCATTGACCCAAATTTTTCGCATGGAGTCGCGCGCAGGAGTAAAAACTGCTTTTTTGTGAATCCACTATGTATAGAAGGTTCTGTGATTGACAGTGTTGAATTAACAAGTAATATGAGTCTATAGTGCAAGCTTAAAGACGAAGATGGATTTCGCGAGAGCAGCGTTTTTACCTATTTGTGTCGAGGAGGTGCAGTCCTCTCACACGGTACCTTCTTCTTTCTGGGCTTTCTTAATACCAAGGATTATTCGGGCATGTGCTTTGTGAAAAGTTCTGGTGTTTGGTAACATCTCGCTCACAGGATAATCATGTCAAAGCCTGATCAACATCTCTTTCATTTCTCTAACTACGGATAATATCTAGAATCTCTATCTCGCTCCATAAATTATATTAAGTATTCAACAGTGATGGACCCGTTGGGAACTTGTCAGATTACTGTACTTGTACTAATATAGATAACGTTTAAGATTATCATGATGCTACGCCTGTTTAATCTGATCTACGATGAGTTTGTGCTAATTCGAGAATGTCGATTTCGGGTAGGAACTGATAATTATGAGATAAAGTAAGATTGTATGCAGTATCATTGATCATTGCTCAAGGGAAATCAGACACCGCCTTAGATCATAAAAAAATGCATTGATAATGTCCTATTGCTGTCGTAGTATTCTTCCGATTACTGTCATTCTGCTTCTCAGCTCTAATGTCCAGCCATATTAATGAGAAGTTATTGAATGTTTGGTGAGCTAGAGCTAAAAAAAATATAATAAAAGGTATATGCAACACTATATCTTGGTAAATATTGGTCTGATCATAAGTTATCTTGAGAGTTTAAAGTTATAACTCTAATAGTTATAGTGCCGACATTAAGAACTTAGGCAATTGAACCGACAGAATAAATGTTTCTTTCATCTCACTTAAAACCTAACGGTTGGAACCCAGAGAGAATAAAGCTTATGTTGGGAGTCTTTTGTGCAAGGCGATTATTTGAGACTACTGAGTCAATCTTCGCGTCTACTGTAAGGTAGCCTCAGCTTAAACCTAGTACACTCTTTCGCTAATATCTCATTCTGATAATCTTTTAGATCTGCGATCTAAATTAATGCTAGTTTATATAGTAATACTAATCACTATGCTTACTTAAGTATTAATTCTAGTGGTGTGTGGAATATACTTAAAGCAAAGCTAATAAAGCAGTGCTCTTATCATCGTGGGCATGGAATGTTTCTTGCTTCCAGAGTAACCGTTGATTTTAATTTAGGAGGTGAATGTTAGTCTATCTGCTTTCCTATGCTTCGCTTACTTTGTTGGATACTTAAAGAATGGTTCCTGATGATGGAATATTAGATTACAATAACGGTAAAATGGTATTTGGTGGGAAGCTATATCTACTAACAGGAACGCTTAAGGCATTAAGAGTTTGGAAGTTTCAGTAGTGAACATATATGCGAACTATATTAAGGGATTATCATATAGTACATGGAAAACACCGGTTTATTTAATCAGAATTTATATTAGTTTTACAGAGCTTGTATTGGTCTTCTTACGTTAAAGATTAATTAGAAGATTGTTATGAGGCTATATCAATTAGTT